AATAAAATATTTCAAGAAAATTTTCAAGAAAAAATTTTCCATAAAATTCCACAAATTCAAATTACTGAACAACAAGATCAAGACAACGAACAATATGATTTACCATCTAAACTTCCTACGAAAAAACAATCGACATCAAATGAAATTCCATTAAATATTCAATTAGATTTTCAAATAAAACAAATTGATTTAACACTTTATCTCGATGAAATAGATCTTAATAATCAACAATTATCTAGAAATGAAAATGATAAATTTATCTATTTAACAATTCAACTTATTCAAGCACAATTTAAACAATTAACAAATATAAATTATCAAGGAAAAATACAAATTCAACATTTATTTGCAGATAATCTTAAACAAAATAATCAAAACAAGAATTTTCTACGTCTTATTAACAAAGGTTTTCATACTGATCAAAATACACCATTATTTATTGCTACTCTAGAAAATAAATCATTTAATCGCACAGGTAAATAACTTTTCTTTCTATCACGATATCATCTTTTCAACAAATCGGAAATTAATCACATATACAATAAAGACATTTTTAATTAATTGTTCAATTATTACATTAACTAATCTTGATTTTATAAGAGCATACAAAGAAACGAAAGATATCACGTAAGATAATATGTCCATTGGCACTAGGTCTCGAAACGAGCCATCCAATTCGATCCAACGAAATGTTTTGTCGGGTGGGCCACCTGGCCCGATGATTTTATCCTTGTCTGACATAACTTTTTCTGAGATTTGGCTCACCCCGGAGGGAAGATAAGGGAAAACTTCGTCACGCTACACCCCTCCTTTAGTCATCACTTTTTATAAAAGCAGAAAAATATGGAATAGCTATCTATTGAGAAAAAAAATCTTTGTGAACGAAGTTTCTTTCGGACCTGGAGTGGACTGAACAAAAGTTGAATCGAGCCGGGCCGTAAAAAACGTGGCCTGATTGACATACTAATGTAATACTTCTAAGTGATGTTTCTTTTTCTTCATACACCTCTTATATTGAAATCAAATAATATTTTAAATAAAACCGAAGAGAGGATTCTACCTTGTACAAAACTTTCAAAGGATTCACCATTAATTCTTGTATTCTTTTAAAATTAATTTTAATAGACAAAAAAAGTTTCATCAATTAACCCATAACGTTGACAAATTTTTCATATAAATTTTCTATTAACTGAATAATCATCTGGAAGTGTTTTTTTAGTATATTCTAGATCTGCTATCATATTTGATACATTTCCGATTTGTTTGATAATGAAAGACTATTGTTTTTGTTTTTTTTGATAAAATTAATGTATTTAAATATATTTTTTAATTAGTTAATTGTGAAATGGAAAGTTTTCATATATTAATAAATGCAGATATAATAATTTCTATGAAAGAATTTTTTACTTATGTAATTCCATCTGATGATGAAACAAAATCTAATCAATTAATGGAATTAAATAATCTTCAATTAAATCTTCCATCTCCAGCTAAATCAATATCACAATATAAATTATTAGATCATCAAAGACCTTCTTCGTTGACAACAATCGAAGATAATCAACGTATTTAACAGTTTATATATTTTTTTTTCCTCCTCTAAAAAAGTGATTTATTTAGCTCGACAAAAACAATCTATTCGATCTGATATTGAAACACATATGAACATCGAAATTAAACCATCACAATTAATATTACTTGAAGATCAAAATAATAATAATTCCAATTGTCTTGTACTTAATGTAAGTCAAACTTTATAAAATATAAATATTTAAAAAAAATAATATATAAATAATAGTTTTTATTTTTAATGAAATTAATTAATAATGATGATGATACAAAAATTTCATTGTCAATAGAAGATTTAACTTTATATGGTGCAACTTTTCAACAATTAAAAGATTCAAAAATGAGATATTCTGTATGAAATTTTATTTCAAAATTCTATAAGATTTAAATTTTTCTTGTTTTTAAAAAAAAAAAAAAGATTTTACAACGTTCTGAAATCAATGCAACAATTATGATGAATTCTTATGAACAAAAAATCGATTTAAATATTGGAGATTTAACAATTAATATTGATCCAATACTTATTAAAACATTTGCTAGTTTATCAAGTTCAATTAATGAAAAGCAAGAAAAAATTAATTCAAAAGAAGAAAAAGATCAAATAAATATAAAATCAATATTCGATCCAAAACCATTTAAAGATTCAACTTTTTGGTTTATTCAAAGTATGAGATTGAGGTTTTGTTTTTTTTTCTTTATTACACCTGTTTCTTTTTTTTGTTTGAAAGATTCTGAAGAAAGAAAAGAATTAATGGAAGATATAGATGTATTAGAAATAACAACAGGTTTACCATCACAAAAGAAAAATGAATTAAAACAAAAACAAAAACAAAAATCTATTCAAAAATATGAAAATCTTTCTCAACAAGTTAAAAAAAACCAAATTTTTGTTTTTGATTCAATATTTTTATTTTCTAGTTAATTATTAATTTAAAAATAATTCAAATTCAACTTGAACTTGGCAAAGGTGATGCAACAAGACCAGTTGTTGCACTTTGTTTATCAAATATATTTGCTCAAATTGAAAATTGGTCAACTGATGTAAAAATTTTTCTAATTTATATTAAAATATTTATTAGATTTTATATATATATAGATTCTTGTGAATTCATCAGTTCAACTTGAATTAGCTTTATTTAATGATCATTTACTTGCATGGGAACCATTAATTGAACCAATTATTGATGAACATGGAATTGTTCAATGTCCATGGACAATTAATTGTGAAACTCTTCAAGTATTATTCAAATTTTCAATATTTATTTATCTTAATTTTATTTTTTTAAATAGGATAAAGAAAATGAAAATGATCCGAAGGTATAAATATATTTTACATATTTAAAATTTCGTAATCTCATAGATTTTGTACTAAATTATTTTCTCTTCGAAAATAAAGACACAAACTCGACTCACTTGAATTTCATTTTTCTATTCATCTATGTATCAAAACAAAAACAGAGCGCATCATTTTTTAGTTCTGAATTCAAAAAAATTCGTCATTGAATTTTCGAGATATTACATAGTATCTTCTCAAATTACAAATGGCTAAAATCTTTATTGAAATGATAGAATACTTATTCAATAAAAAGATTTAGAGTTATGATATACATTTCTTTCTGCGTCATTTGCATTTTCGTCCACTTCTATAACTCTAAAGAATACGAATATATCAGAGCTGTAATCAGTAGAGTTTTTTCCTTAACGGTACCGATGCCAGTCTAACTGATCAGACCGGTTAGTTACAGCTCTGCAATATTTGAGTGTGGGTGTCGATGTAGTTCTTCAATTTACATCCACACACTTAGTAGTTTGAACTTTAGAGAAGGACAGCGCATGAGTACAAAATCTTCTAGTCTCAGTAGACTCTACATTATAAGGAATGTTCAATTTAAAAGATGAGTAAGCATAATAAAATTGATTAATGAAATATTTAAACAAATGAATAAATATTAAAATTAAATTTTAGTATCGATATTTATTATATGATGAAAAAGATTCATCTTCAACAGAAAAATCTAAAGAAATAGAAGGTAGTGGAACAAATATGGATATTAAAAAAGTAATTTCTATTCGTGCTGAACATTTATTAAATATAACATTAACAAAAACAACTCTTGATCTTGGTCAACGTATACAAACAATGTTTAATGAAGCTTATAAAAAAGGATCATCATCAGATGATGATCAAGAACAAGCAATGTTAACAATATTTAATCAAACTGGTTATCAAATTAATATTGAAGATATTATTGGTGTTGAGGTAATATCTTTTTTGAAATTATTCTTAAGATTTTTTTTTTTAAATTAAAGTTTCCTGATGGTGAAAAATCAAAAGATAAATCATTAAAATTAAAAAATAATGAATTACTTCATTTAACAATACCTCAAGAAAGATTATCTGCAACACATCTTCCAGCTATTGCTGAACAAGTTGCTAAAAGAAAACAACAATTTAATGTTCAAGTTAGATTAATAAATATATAAATTATTTCCGAAATAAAAAAGAAATTTTTTTTTTCAATAGATTGAAGATCGAAAAGTAACAGTTGATATAAATCAAACATGGAGAAGAGTTTATAATTTATTTCCATCATCAAATTCTTCATGGCCAGTTCAATTACTTTGTGATTCACAAATATATCAAGAAAGAAGAAGAGTTGTTCTTAGTTCGATTATTAAAGTATGTTTTTTTTTAAAATTTTATATTTAAATTTATTTTCTATTCATACAAAATAAAAGATATCAAATCGAACACAAATGCCATTAATTGTATTAGATGCTGATTCAATTGAAACAAATACATTTAATCGTATTGCAAAAATTGATATTAATCAAGAATATTATCTTCCTATTGAACTTCTTTATTTAAGAATTACTCCAAGACTTTATTTTGCTGTTCAACAGTAAGTAGAATAATACGGAGAAAAACAACAAGTAATGCTCGTCTGTAGACTCGCTCAGCTCTTTCTCGTAAAAATACTATTTCTGATCTCTCAGCAAACTAGAGTGTGAATATCTACACTCACCCTTGTTGTCAGATAGATGGTTTTCATTGGAAGTTTCTCTTGAGCACGACAACTATCAATTAGTATGTCCTATCACTCGGAACCATCTATTTCTATGTATCATACCTATTTATACATTTAACTATTGCCGATATCTTAACCTTAGAGGCTTTCTTTCATAAGAAATATTTTTAGCCTTTGATCAATTTTCTAGAAAAAAAAAATTTACTAAAAACAGTAGCAAAAGAAAAGTGAGACTAACCTCGGATTTGGATTCCTTACCCTCAATGACCTTCGGTCAAGTTTTTGAGATAATTATTCCTTTTGTTCTCCGATCAATCAGTGAAATGTGAACACACAAGCAAGAAAACTAAGGAGGAAATAGCTGGGATTCTTCTTTTATAAAAAAAAAATGTTGAATTTATCTGCAAAATGTCTTTACAATCTTATGAAAAATCCTGATAGAAAGAAAATTTTAGCAGTCTTCGCTCTGTCCTCGGTACAAAGTAATATGAAGATGATTTTCGGGAAAAACAATCTTGCAGAAAGTCAATATTTTTTGAGCATTTTTTATTTTGTATCTGTCAAAAAGTCGAATGAAAACACTTTCTGCTAAATCCTTCATCCTTCTCGCTTCCAAAAACAATTAACAAGTTTCGAATTTGAAACATCAATCGACAAAAATGCTTTTTTGAATACATTTAATATTTTTGTTTTGAATTATTTTGAACCTGAAATTTCTCAAGTGTTTTCAAAAACTAATTTGACATATTTATAAGGAAAAATCTATATGTCAAACCCTCAAGTTTTCTAATCGTATAAATTCTAGAATAGTATCATTTAATCTTTTATCAAATTTTCGGCAAGAAAGATACAACTTGTTTTGTTATCATTCTGAAACTTTCTATAAGTTGTGAAGAAGACTTTAATACTCTTAAATCCTAGACTAATTTATATTCTTATTTGAAATTCTTAGAAGGACTTTAAAGTGAAACAGGTTATTAAATAATATTTTTTAGAATAAATGATGATCAATTTTTGTTTTAAAGAAAAAATATTCTTAATTTTAGAGATGATTATAATGATGAAATAAATGATTTTATATCATTTGATTGGGCTAATGAGTCGATAAATGATCGAGTTTTAAGATTAAATAATGGAACAAATGGTCATTTTGTTGTATGTTTTATTAAATAAATAAAAAAAATAATTAAATTAATATATTTTTGATAAAGATATACAAAGAAGAAATCGAAGCATATTCAGAAAATACAGATGAACCAATACGAAAATCATTTAATATATATGTTAAATTGGCTCTTCATTTATTAAATTTATTACCAATTCCAATTCAATGTTCAATTGATGTTTGAAGATTTTAATTTTTTTTTTTATTTAATTTAATTCTATTTTTTAAATAGAATATTGAAGATGTAACATTAAAACCAAGTGAATTATATCATTGTATACAAGGAAATAAAAAATCAATTCTTATATTTCGAGTAACGAATTTTGTTTTCTTTTTGAAAATCTTTAAATATAAATTTTTGTTTTTTTAAATAGATTTCATCATATTTAAATGCATCATGGATATCAGAACCTTGTGATTTAAATGTCAAAGGTCATGGAATTCATAATGAACATATTATTACATTTCACGAACGAATTACAGATGAAACTATAGTAAGATATTAAATATTGCATAAAACATTAAGAGAATATTAATTGTAGAGAATGATTTTACGTGTTGATACATATCGTGCTTCATATCGTGCTTCATTTTATTCTCCATTTTGGATTATTAATACAACTGATCTTAAATTTCAATTTAAGGTTTTTTATTTTATTTATTTTAATTTTAATTTTTTTGTCATATTTAGATTGACAATGATAAAACATTTATTGATTCAACTGATAAACCAATTTTTGCTTGTCCAAATAAATATCATAGTGATTCACAGAAAAAAAAAGTTGAACTTTTTATCTTATTCATATATCAAATAATATAAATATTTCAATTATAGGGTTATATACGTTTAGTTAGTATCGAAGATGATGAAAATATATCTCAATGGTCCGAAGGATTTTCACTTAATGTTATTAAAAGTACTGGAATGACTTCTTGTAAAGTAATCAATGATAGAACATATATGGTAAATAAACTTATTTTATCTAATACATTTCTACAAGAGTCTATTTGATCTATCTGTCTGTCTTGATCTATGCGCTTTTCTGTATAAAATCAATTAAATCATAGAAGTCGGAATGAGAGTATTGGAACAGAAGATTTTTTTTTCTTAAAAACGATCTAAAATGAGTGTTCAGGTATTGAGATAATCTTTCCTTCAGACGTCATAGACATCTTCGCTAGTCTCTCGTGTGACCGTGAATAGAAATTAGCTACGGAAAGTCAAATATTCTCTGTTTGTGTTAATCATAGCTTACGTTTGTTAATGTATTTCGATAATCTATTTATGTTTTCTTCATTAAATTGAATTTATTTTAAAAGGTTTGTATTGATATTGTAACTTGTTCATTTGGTATGACTAAAATCATAACACTTGCATCATCAACAGTGATTATTAATAATTCATCAGTAAGAATTTCTTTTTTTTCGTTTTCATATGAAATTTTTCTTTATTTTGATAAAATGAAAATTTAGTTTGATATTGAAGTTACTGAAAATGTATGTGGAAATTATGAAGATAATTGGAAAATAGTTAAAGCTAATCAAGTAAATATTTAAATTTTATTTAGAAGAAAAGAAAAATCTGAAAATATTTTTTGTATAAAGATAATTCCATATTGGCCACGTTATATAAAAGAAGGTGTTATGTGTGTTCGTTATTTAGGAGGAATTTTATCTGCAAGTTGTTTTTCAATAAAAGATAAACATCGAACATTATTACGTATGAATGATATTGAACATCCTACACTTCATGTTGAAGTAACAGCAACAGATTATGATGGATTTAAAATTAATTTTTCTGATTACAAAAGTGGTGATGCTCCACTATTAATTGTTAATTCTTTATTAAATCAACCAATATCATTTTGTCAAAAAGAAGATTTGTATGTTATCTTTTTTTTTTTGTTTATTTTGTTTGATTAAATAAATTTCTTTAAAAATAGTCATACACAAATATTACCTCCACAATATTATGTTTATTATACATGGAATGATTCATTAAAACCACAAGAATTAATTCTTGCAACTAATGGAGATAATTTAACTATAAAACTTAATGTAAGTGAAATTTTATTAGGAAAAAAAAATCAAACGAGAAATTTGATTTAAACAATTCTCAGATAAAATTAGCATGTCGTAAAAACGGCTGTTTTAGAGAGTTTTTCAGACGTTTATTAGACGCAGTATTATGATCGGATACTTGACTCTAAAACCGTTCGGAAGATCATTTTCACCTGTTTGTGGCATAGTAAAATATTGTGCCTATCAATCGTTTATTTACGATTGCATACAAGAAGTTATATTCAAAAATGAAATATCTACTATGTATTCAATTGATTTCCTAAATTCAACTGAAATTAGATTAAATAAAAAGTGTGTTAGGATTATTGGAAATTTTGTTAATGATCTCTATATACGAAATTGATTTATCATCGATCTGCTCTGTATATGATTGTCATACACGAAGACTGTGTACGACTTCTGTTTATTCTCATTATCAGAATCGTCGTTCATTTAGTCTTATACTAAGTTCTACTAGAAGATTCTTCAGAGGATCTTCTTCTTTCACAAGAAATCATTGAAAGACTTTGCTTCTATTGAATAAAGAAAAACAAATTTTAAAATTGATAAAACGACTTCCTTTCATGAAATTTGTTCTGTAAACTGATCTCAAAAATGATTCCTAATTCTATTAGGTAATTCTTTCTTTGAGCAGATATCGAACAGAATTTTCTATGATAAGATCATATCAAAGGAGTAATTGGACATTATTGATTGCTGGATCAAGACTGTCAAAATTATGGCTTATATTCGTGTATAAGAATAATTATGTAAACGTAAAGTCAGTTCATCGAGATCTATCCATAACACGGTTATGCGTAATGAACCGACAGAGACTAATTAACTTTCGATTGATGAGTCTTGTGTCATATTGACTAATCAAACGATCAAAATAGTCTCTAATGAAAAACTTCTCAAGGATTTATCTAAGACGTTTTCAAAATCCGAGTCCTTCAGGCCAAACTCAACTTGGTTTCGATCTCTTGTGTCAATGAATATTTAGATGGAGATGCAAGTTCTATTCCTTTGTTGATTAATATAATTATAATAAGTTAGTTCAATTAAAGATTGTTAAAATTACTTCGATGATAATTGATGTATGTAGATTCTTGTTTATTGTTTGTAGCCTGTTTGTGGTATTATTGATAAAGAAAAGGAAAATCCAATATATTACGCAATATTTCATGATGGTCCTCAAACAGTATTAATATTTTCTTCTGAAACACAAATTATTGAAGCAGTATCAGATGTAAGATTTCATTGTTGTTTTTTTTTAAATATTCTTTTTTCAAAAAAAAAAGTAAATCTGTTTTTTAGACATCATCAATAAATGAATCAATGAATTCATATATTCAAATAGGTTTACGTTGTCTTGGTATATCAATAATAAATGATATAAATCATGAAGATTTACTTTATATAAGTTTAAATCCAACAAAAGATATGTGGACTGAAACAAGAAATTTTAATGTTAAACCAGTTGAATATAATCTTAATAAATCAATAGAAGATCATTATAAAAAATATCAAGAAAATTTCAATGAACAACAAACAGATCAAAAATATGAAATTGATAAAAATCGCGTAAGAATTTATTTTTTTAAATAAGAATAAAATATTTGATTTTATTAGTATGTTAAATTTGATGGAGATGTAGCTGAGATAAGTGATGAAGAAGGTAATAGTATTCATGTAAAACGAGATACACTTGATGGATTTTGGGTTGGATATGGTTTTTCAACAAATCATCAAGCTATTCATTTAAAAATTAATAATTTACAAATTGATAATCAACTTCAAATAACATTATTTCCAACAATTCTTTATCCAATTATTTCAAAAGCAACAGCAACTGATATACGTATGATATTTTTTATTCTTTTCATTTTCTTTTTTATCTCAGTTTATTTATTTAGCTGGAAAACCATTTATTGAATTAAGTCTTTTTAAAAGTCAATCAGTGAGATCAAATACAATACATATCAAGTATTTAACAATAGAAATTCATTTTTGTTTTGTTCAAAACAAAAGTTTTTTTTCTATTTTTCATTTAGATATTTTAAATTATTAATACAAGAATTTTTTATGTCTATTGATCAAGGTTTAATTGTAGCTATTCTTGCTTTTATTAAACAACAAAAGGTTTATTTTTGATTAAATATTAATAATTGAATGTTTTCTTCTTTCTTTTTTTTTTATTGAAATCTCTTAGGATCCAGCAGCACCTACGGTTGATATGAATCCGGATCTTAAACGTATTGATAAACCATTAGAAACATTATTTAAAGGTGAAACGGATAATACATCTGAAGAATCAACAATTTATTTTGACAATCTACATTTATCCCCGCTTAAGGTAACATTTCTTGTTCGTTCAAATCCATCTGATAATTCAATCTAGTATCTTGTGACAAAATGAAAATTCCTTAAAAAGAAATCTACTTCTATTGATTCATCTAGCGAGTATGATCAGAATAACGATGCGATAATTACGGTATCGATCAAGAGAAATCATTTAAGATATCTGTATTTTCGATGATGAAAATGAATTGATCTTTATCGGAAAAAAATTCCGATAAGAATCTTATCTATTATATTTCAGATCTTCTGCTTCTATCTAATGAGAGAACCTCGCAGAGGTGCAAAATCTTCCTCGTGCATCCCCGCGCGGAAGGTGGGGGAGGGGGAAATTTTTGATGTTGTGGAAGATTCTGCACCTCTGGAACCTCGCGAAGTGATAAATCGCTTTTGAATTGAGACTTCCCTGATTATTTAGGTCCTATTGAGACTAGGAAAAACCTAGAATGATTCGTGTCCATGGGTCTTTCTCATCGAGTTACAACCATTTTACTGTGTTTTTGACCTGTTGTAGAGCACTGGAGACAAAATCGAAAGAGCGTATTTTAACCTGAATTTTTACCTATAGAAAGGTCTGATGATGACTACGATGTACCAAAAGTTTCAGCGAAGACGAGTGTTTCGTTCCTGAGATTATGTTCTTCTTAGAAAAGCACATATTGTATAGAAGAACCGAAAAAGGTAAGATTTTTCGAAAACTCATTATCTCGGAAACGAAACACTCGTTTTCGCTGAAACTTTTGGTGCATCGTAGTCATCATCAGACCTTTCTATAGGTAAAAATTCAGGTTAAAATACGCTCTTTCGATTTTGTCTCCAGTGCTCTACAACAGGCCAAAAACACAGTAAAATGGCTGTAGCTTGATGAGAAAGATCCATGGACACGAATCATTCTAGGCTTTTCCTAGTTTCAATAGGACCTAAATAATCAGGGAAGTCTCAATTCAAAAGCGATTTATCACTTTGCGAGATTCTCTAATTAGATAATTCATTATGAAAAGTTTATTTCTCAAAATATATTCATATAGAATAAGAAAGCAAAGTATATGTTGAGATTTATCAATACTTCATTATCTTTTCTCATACGAATATAATAATTAACGATAATTAAATTAAAAAATAAAATATAAATAAAGAATATTTTAGTTCGATTTTCGAGATGAAAATAAGATTATTTTCGTAAAATGACAATATTTTCTAAAAACTTAACTAAAGATTTCTTTGCAATTGACCCGAACAAGACATATAAAGTCTTCTTACACGACTGAAGAAACTGTTTAATTAAAATTCTCCCTACTATTGCAATAGCAAAACATAGTATTGATCGGCATGATCAAAAGATTTGAAAGGATTCCCCTCTTTTATATGACCTGAACTATGTCATATTTTCTTCTAACAATACTCAAGGAAAATCTTGCTGGTAAATAATCTTCCTGAATATCACCTGGTTTATTATTCAAAATTCTATTTAAAAAACAAAACTATGTGAAGTTATTTATTCTTTCAAAATATAATTTTATTAATTTAAATAGATTCATGTAAGTTTTTCAATGCATGGTGCAAAAGCAAGTGAACAATTATTAGCTGAATATCCAATTGTTGATTTTTTATTACAAATTTTAAATGTAGCAGAAGTTCAAGATGTTATATTAAAGTATATTTAATTTTTTATTAATTTATAATTTATAATAATAAAAAAAAATATATTAAATTTAGATTAAATTTTTATGAACGAAAAAATGATCGATACACAATAACAAAATTAACAAACGAAATTAGTAATCATTATGAAGATCAATTTTTAAAACAACTTCATGTTGTTGTTCTTGGTCTTGATGTACTTGGAAATCCATTTGGAGTTATTCGTGGAGTTGCAGAAGGTGTTGAATCATTTTTTTATGAACCATATAAAGTTAGTTTAAAAGATTTTATTTTAATAAAAATAAATTTTTTTTAAGGGTGCAATGGAAGGTCCTATTGAATTTATTGAAGGTATTGCAACAGGTAGTAGATATTTATTAGGTTCTGTTGTTGGTGGTGCTGCTGGTGCAGTTTCAAAAGTAACTGAAGCAGCAAGTAAAGGTTTAGCTACATTAACATTAGATCAAGATTATCAAAATGCAAGAATTCAAAGAAAAGAATATCAATCTCAAGCAACATCTGATATTGTTGCAAGTGGAAAAAATGCAATTAAGGTTTTATTTATTATTATGAACATTTTCTTTTAAATATTTTATTTGATATTTTGTTTTTTTAGGATGTTGTATTAGGTGTTAAAGGTGTTGTTAACAAACCAGTTAAAGGTGCAAAAGAATCTGGTGGAAAAGGTTTTGTTAAAGGTTTAGGTAAAGGTTTACTAGGTCTTTTTGGAAGACCTGCAAGTGGTGTTGCAGATTTAACAAGTTCATCATTTAAATTAATTAAAAGGTTTTATATTAACAAATTCTTCTTGTTATAAATAAAATATTTTATTCATTATCAATAGAGTTGCAGCACATGAAGAAATAATTCATCGTGTTCGTAATCCACGTCATGTTGGAAAAGATGGAATTGTTCGACCGTCAGTTGCTCATGAAACCTTGGGATCATTTATATTTGATGTATGTTTATTTTCTTTTTTTTTGAATATGATATATTATATTGATTTTAGCAATTTCCTGATGATAAACATCACACTACTGAAGGTTATGTTGCACATATTAATGCTACCAAAGAACCATCTACTTTATTTTTTGCTACAACAAAGTCATTTATTGATTAATTTTCTAATTAAAATAAATTTTTTATTTATTTTTAGACGAATATTATTTTTAATTGAAAATCAATCTTCATCATTTGGTTATAGTATTGAATGGGATTATCATTTAAAAGAAATAAAAGGAATACCAATTGTCAAATTTGATCCAAATTTTATTGAAATAACTATAAGAGTAAAACGAAAATTTGATTTATATTGAGATAGAATATTTCATTTAGGAAACAAATGTACTTGGTATGACAAAAAAGGATAGTTTACATGGAAAAGTTGTTTCATATGAAAATATTGGTGAAGCAAGAGTATGTTAATCTTTTTAATAAAAATTTATTCATTTATTCTGTTATAGTATATTGTCGATAAAATTATTGAAATAATGAAAGCATTAGAAGTATAATTAAACAAAATGTTTTTATTCATTGAAACTGTTAAATATTCTATACATTTAAATTTCCATAAACTAGCTTTTTATTTTTATTGTTATATTCTCGCATTCCAGATATTGTATTCAGGCAATAAATATACTTGTTGTTTTTCTTTGAAAATATTCAAGAATTCTATAAGAGATATAATCTGTATTCATATAAGATCAATTTTAATTGTGAAAATTACTGTTGGGGTGTGGGGGTGTGGTTGTGGGTGTGGGTGTAAGAGTTAATATTCTCCTCACCCACACCCAGCACTTATTGATATTTCTCTTATGAAAAAAAACGGTAGGTAGATCTCTATTATTGGTGAAAGTTTCAGTTTCTTCGATTGTACAACTAGTATAGATAATTGAATTCCTTATCGCGCATTTACTTGTGGCTCGTCCTGCTTTATATCTTTATCAAGGCAGAAACAAGAACATTTTTTCAAACCTTATGTTGGCAACCATTATTTTTCTCGTTTTGCACTTTTTCATCATTTGAACCAGTATGTAGTGACCTTGAGAAAATCTTTTTCATCTTCCGCTCATTTTGACCTAGCCAAGGAATGTTCTCAATCTCTTTTTTTATCTAGAAACGATCACGTGCATAAATACTCATATTGATGATCCGGTATCTTAGATAGCATAGACGTCGATCGATGTTTTATCTCTGTAAAGATACCGTTCACGATCTCTGTGAATCGCAATTATCATTATCGCACTAAATACAGAGGCGATATTGCACTTGATATGATATCTCTATGAACAAAATACATATGTATCTACATCTCGTTGCTTAAACAAAGTGGTAAAAAAGATTGATTCAAGCTGAAAATCAGTAGTAAAGCTGTGATTCGGAGAGTATGGTACTGTTCAATCAAATTGACAATATCTTCACAAGATATGAAAGAAATTATGAACAGCACAGAGACCGCAGACTGAAGATGTCAATGTTTACTTACTTTGTCTTGATAACATGTTTAGATCAATTCTTATAAGGTAATCTTCGTGGGCATATCCTCTCTTTACTGAATTTACCACACAAACGTTCCGTTTTGTCTTTGAGTAAGTGTAAGTATGTCTCTTACTCTCAAACACTGCAGTCGTAATCGTTGCAATCGGCTGATGAAACTCATCTTTCGTGTAAATAAAGGATAAAATAGTTGTTAAAGTATTATTTTCTGATCTGCAGTTTAACGCGTCGCTAGTCATCAGACGCATTAAATGAATAGATGCGAGGTAGTTGCCAAATACTGAATAGCTGATTATATTGATAACAAAATGTTATATTTCTCACTGAAAAATTCGCTGTCGGATTGTTCGAAGCCTAAAAGTATTGTGCTGACCACTAGAGCGGTGATTCGGATTTAGAATCATCGGAAATCGCTGCAACATTGTTCAAAAACTTATTTTAAAGCAAAAGTTACACTGAGTAGCGCATTCTCAGAAAATAAATGATTCAACTTTCTTTCTATGTATAATTTATTAGATTATCCTAAGTGTCTTTAGAAAGCACGTTCATCTCAGCTGCTAAAAGAAATGAACTATACTAATACATTTAAAGTCACAAGACGCTTTTCATTCCATATTTTCTTTCGAAAAATGATTGAATATCCATTCCTCGCCGTACTGCCATGCGTTATCCGTTAAGATGGCCATCTTATTGAACCAGTTCTTTGCAATGGTTCGATTCTTCTCACCAGCTTCATGCAATAAAGTGTAATCGAGACTCTCGATTGAACAAACCAACAGTATATTAGTAGCTACAGATGGACAAGGGTTCGATTCAACACAATAGTAATGCTTTAAACTCATGTCTTCGAACTCTCGTTGAAATGGATAGGAGCCAATATTAGACAAGTTGAGATCATTGTTACAGCAGTCATTTCGCTTAGTTTGTTTGTCTATCTGTTTATCTGTTGAAGTGAGACGATTTGCACGAAGGTAGATCAGATGTTTTCCATCGGATAAATTCTCCTGCAAACCATTGAAAATAACACGACAGAGTGCCCAAAATTTTGTTCCAAGGGAGACAACAATTTCACTCAAATTCATCATTCCAATATGAAGGCCAACATGTTCATGACGAGAAAGTGGTGAAGGATAACGATGACGTAAATTAATGTCGAGATCGAATTTAAAATTTGAGAAACAAGATGAAGGTTCATCAAAGGTGAACAAGCGGACTTCTGTACTTCTTTGTACTTCTTTGTACTTCTCTGTACTTCTTGGTACTTCTCTGCACTCCTTCGTACTTCTGAAGCACAGAAGTACGCTTGTTCCCCCTTGATTAATTCACACTCACACCCACCAACACCCACTCACGCCGACACCCACACCCCACACCCACATCCAAATCCTTTTGCCCTTTTTCTTATATCGACAGCCAAAGTGTTAATGCATGTAAGGCTTTTGTGTAGAACTGAAAAAAAATGAAATGTCAAAAATGAAAATGCAAACCAACAGAGCAATGTATTTTTCATTTTTTTTTTGATCATCAGAAAGCATCATAACTACGACTGCAAACAAAGCACAAACAGAAAGCAATTACAGTAACAATTTTTGTAAAGAATATGTAACCATAGTTGTGTTTTTCTGTTTTTATTTCGATCGAATGAGAAATTATATAAGGCGTTTTCATATTTTTTTCTATATAGGCAAGTAATGCCGCAACAGTGTACAGGGCTGGAAATAATATTTTGATAGGGGAGGGGGGAGGTACCGCTATAATTTCAAATAGAAGACATAATGAATTTTATATCAAATGAAAGCTCGTCAAAAATAGGGTTTATTGATACTAAATAGTAAGGATTATGAACACTTTTTAATATCGAACTTAAGTAACTTTCAGAAATTTTATACTTTTTTTGCGGTGGAAAAGTAAAGTGCCAGTAATTGAAAAATGGATTAAAATGTTTTTCTTGGATATTTTTACATGGTTCGATAGAGCTCGTCGAACTCTACAAAACTGTATATATTAGAAATTTTTTTAGTCTTTTTTTTGTAATAAAAATTAAAAAAACTATTTGAAAAATCTTGAAAAAGTCATATTTTTGATATGGAAGAAAAACACTCGAATTTTCAATAAAATTTCCTTTTTCCTGATTATTTTTATTTCCTCAGATGTTTCGAAATATATTAATTCGATGCAGTTTTTCACGCTGCATCGAGTGAGTATATTTTCAAACATTTTACATAAGGATACTAATGGAAAACAGCTGAATTTAGTGTAAAAAAGACCACTTTTTTCCTATAAAAAGTGTAAAAACTGAGAGTTTTTCGGTACATTCTTTAGACAGCTTTCAGTGAATTTTAACCCAATAACTCTGTTTGAAAATTTTTTAGTACATACAGTTTTGTAGAGCTCGACGAACTCTATCGAACCATGTAAAAATATCCAAGAAAAACATTTTAATCCATTTTTCAATTGCTGGCACTTTACTTTTCCACCGCAAAAAAAGTATAAAATTTCTGAAAGTTACTTAAGTTCGATATTAAAAAGTGTTCATAATCCTTACTATTTAGTATCAATAAACCCCATTTTTGACGAGCTTTCATTTGATATAAAATTCATCATGTCATCTATTTGAAATTATAGCGGTACCCCCTATTAAAATATTATTTCCAACCCTGCACAATTACCCGTAAAAAAAACAACTTGTACCAGTTCTCTCTTTTTTAATCGTTGATAGCTAGGTAGCAGAATATTCTCTTCTTTCTCAGGTGCTTGTCTTCTCTTCTATCATTCTATGCTCATTTATTCATTTTTCCTTTCTGTTCGATACTTACATCAGTGATTTTAACGTCTGATTCGAGTGACTTCACTGCAATAACTATCGGAAAGTCACAGGTTACGACCGAAAAACTCGAAATCATTAATTCTTGGACACAGGAATAAATGCCTGAATTCAGTGACCGGCGTTTTCTGTTTATGGAGAGAATCGGTCAGAACCGAGCATTGCCAACTGCTGGCTACAGTCATCGCATTCCTGCGTTCAAGATCCAATGATTTTTCCGAGTTTTTCGGCCGAAGTCTGTGACTTCTGGATCGGTTCTTGCAGAAAAATCTTTCAAACCGAACCCTGGAATCGTTGATCTGAGTATCGAATAGAAAGAGAAAATAAATAAATGAGCATAGAATGATAGAAGACAAAAAAAAGCAAGAGAGAAAGGAGAGAATATACTGATATCTAACTATCATCGATTCAAAAAGAAGCGAGTGGTACAGGTTGCTCAATATGTAGGCGATTCATATCGCACAACTTGTACGGTATAAATCATTTTTTTACTGGTAATTCTATATAATAAACTGATCATTTATATATTTTTTGCTGATTTTTTAATCTATTTTACTGATTACATATTTTGTCGCCATTTAAATGACGAAAAGATCTTTCTTTGAAAAGGTTCGCTCAAGAAAAGATATCATTTTTCAAGCCATTTTCATTGAAACTTTCTTCGAACGAATCCAACTTAGATTAATGAACTCACAGCCGAAAAAATAATAATACTTTTTTTCCGGCTTTTTAGGCCTCCTCATCTTATAATGCTTATAACTATCTCATAGTAGCCATAAAATCACTCAAAAAGAATTTTTATTACCCGATTTTTGGATTTAAAATATGAACATAGAATGAAAAGTGTATTTTAAACATCCATTTCGAACGAGACGTAGCACTAAACGACTGAATATAAATGCCTGAGCTACAGGGAAAATATCGACTAGAAAGCCTTCTTCAACGATGCAAAGTATTGTATCTTCAACTATTTACAATAGTCCCACTTAACAATTAAACTTAGCAATAGTTTTTTTAACCACAATTTTTGCAAATGCCGAAAGAAAATGGTCTAAGCTTGCTCAGATCCAGAATCTATTACTTTAGAAAGATTATGTCTAATAGAATCGTACCAGCTCCAGAAGCAGCATCACCACGATCAGGTGGAGAATCACCACCACAATCAGCTCGGGAAACATCGCCACGAAAATCACCGCCACAATCAGCTCGAAAATCATCATCACGAGAATCAGCTCCACAATCAGCTCGAAAATCACCACCACGATCAGGTAGAGAATCACCACCACGATCAGGTGGAGAATCGCCACCACAATCAGCTCGGAAATCACCACCACGAGAATCATCACTACAATCAGCTCGGAAATCATCACTACGAGAATCATCACCACAATCAGCTCGGAAATCACCACCACGAGAATCAGCACCACAATCAGCTCGGAAATCACCACCACGAGAATCAGCACCACAATCAGCTCGAAAATCACCGCCACGATCAGATCGAGAATCAGCACCACAATCAGCTCGAAAATCACCGCCACGATCAGATCGAGAATCACCACCACGATCAAGTTTGGAAACATTGCCACCTGCTGGAGAAACACTACTACCACGGCCAACTTCAAAACAATCACCACCTTCTTCAGAAATACCACTATCACCAACTCCAGAAAGACGGTCACCACCATTTTCGGAAACATCAGCGCCGCCAACTTCATATACAGTACGACCATCGTCAAATTCAAAACCTGTACCATCGCCAGCAAAACCTTTGCCACCACCAACTTCAAAACCTGTACCACCGTCACCAAAACCTGTGCCACCACCATCAGCTGCAAAACCTGTGCCATTACCAGCAGCTTCAAAACGAGTGCCACCACCAGCAAGTTTAAAAACAGTACTTCCAACAGCTTCGGAAACAATACCACCACCAGTAGTCTCAGCAGCAGCAGTGCCACCACCGTCTTCACCATCGGCATTATTAGATTTAATGAAGAAATATGTCCAATCAAAAGTCTGTTATAATTCAGCAGCCTTAACAAATGCAAGAGTTACCAACGTAAAACAAGGATGTATTGCCTACCAAATTGATCTGTCGACATTAGTAGAATCGCGTTCGTTGGAAAAACTAGAGAAACCTTATAATGGTGAATCTACACCTGCTCAAGCACTTCTTAATGCATGGGACTATGAATTTCAACAGCCAACAACCCTAAAGAAGTACCAGAAAGACACACATGATCTTATACAAACAAGTTCGAAAGCTGTCTGTCCGGAATGCAAAGGTGCTACTCGTTTCCAATGTTCGTCATGTGGGGGAAATGGTAGAACGGCTTGCCACTATTGTAGTATAAATGCTTCAACTCAGAACAGCGATCAAATGTATGATAGATCAGTGTGTTCATATTGCAATAATACACGTGTTACACATTGTTCAACATGTAACTCTACTGGTGCAGTTGATTGTACAAGATGTGGAACACACGGCTATATATTACAGTGGTATCAATTAACAATTGAATGGTATACAATTCATTCTATCTCTTTACAATCAAATACTTCATTGCCAGCTGAAATAATTTATAAAGCTCCAGGTAAACAATCCTGTTGGCAATTTGATCAAAAATGGTCAAATGCTTGTTCATTTAATAATTATTTTCAAAGTGTCTTCGCTAAGCAACGCGCCGAATTTCCAGTGAAACTTGATAGCTTAACGGAAGACTTTACTAAAAATCATTTGGAGAAAGTTCAAAATGATGGCCTAATTATCAGACTAAAATGTGAAATACAAAAATTAGATATAATTGAGGTTGAATATGAAGCTGAAGGATTTATTAACAAGACAGATGAGAATATGGGTATGTTTTTATTAACTAAAAAATTTTAATAATCTTTTTTACCATGAACTCTTTTCTTCTAGGTAACAAATTTCGATTCTACTACTATGGAATTGGAGAGCAAGGTGAACCATTGATCTATGAGAATGATTATCCACTAAATGCCTGTGGTTGTTGTTGTTGTTGCTGCTGTCAAGGATGTTCATGTCATTCGAGATGTTGCACAATATTATAAGTAAAAGGGAAAAACGTTAACTGATCTGTTTTCCTTCTATATTGTTCATCAAAGTTCATATTAATACAAAAATAAAACTGTGATTCAAGTGTTGTGCCGCATTAGATGAAACTCGTGTTATACTCACGAGGAAAGGTCGCCAACTGATTCACGCCGTTTTTGTTGATATTTTGCCCATATGTAGAGTTCGATGAGGCTGGAAGAATCCTAAAGGATGACGGCTCATAGGCCTTTCTTCTCGAGTTACGATCATTTTACTGAATTTACCATCTATGACAAGGAATTCAGTGAACGATCAAATTACCGAATTTCGATCTGAAATTTTGTCCACATGCAGGTCTTATGGCCTGTACATTAGTCTAAAAGTTTCAATCAAAACAAATGCTTTTTTCTCAAAATATTTCCATGCTACATATATCTCCCCGAAAAAAAATAGTTTCCACCTGTGTTTCAAATTTATCGTCATTATGATAATACATGTTTTTAAAACAAATTACATATTCTGAAAGCCCGTGGAGTTCTCTATCATCCTATATAATTAGATTTCAGTTTGTACCTACTCATTATAAAAAAGCATCGAGCACAATGAAGGCACCCTCATGTCCAGATTCCCACAGACATGATTTTTTTGATTGTGATCAAAATTAGTTTTTAAAATTTTTCATTACTATAGAACTATCTTTTTGAAAAAGCAATTATATATTCTGATAGAGCTTGAAATTCTCTATCACCCTGTATATTTATTTATTTATTTTCTCATATTCATTTATTGAAAAGAAAACTTGAGTAGAATGAAAACATCCTCAATCGATAAGTACTAAAATTTTGTATTTTTTCGCTGGTTTTTTAGTATTTTTTAAAAATTATTATTCGAAAGAAGCAAATTATAGAAAAGAAACTATAACATTGATAGAGTAACAATACGGAAAATTATTGTTATAAATAAGAGCAAGCTGTGTTGCTGAAATATTGAACGCAAAAGCGAGTACTCATCGAACTCATGCATGGTTTTGCCGTGAATAATGTATGTTAGAGAACTACTTTCCAAGTCCAAGCAACCAGTGTGCCAACACTTTTGAATGAATTCTGAGAAGCGAAACTTGTGCCAGACACGTTTGGTCGGTCAAAAATCGTTTTGTTTGTCGACAAAGAAGAAAAAATTGAAAATGTCAAAGTCGTAGCCGCGTGTGCGATATGAATCAAATGGAAAATTGTTCCAGACAGTTTTTAAATAGTCCAAAAATCGTGACGATAAATGGTAGATGGCATTCCCATTAATATGTAGAAAGCTTAGCTTCATAGGCTTTGTGCCTCGATAGGTAGAGCCGAGCATCCACTAGTCGGTGGAGAAATAGATTTGATCAGAGTGACCTTGCTTGATTAAATCGATTGTGGTTTCCAGTTAATATGCGTGAATTGGCCAAGTATCTACTTGCACGAGGAAGAAATGTGTAAAACCAAAGGAACGTAATTCAATGGGGCTCTTATCCAAGAGTAGCTTCTGCCACATGAAGACACTTCCAGCAGGACAAGTATTTTGGGCATGTGTACGATCAGCAGCAGCAAAGCGCACTGCTCGATAGCAACGTGCCACGAAATCAAACACGTGCAATAATCGTAGAATTTCATGATTTAAAGACAAGTTCTGTGACTCGTTATGGTAGAAGATGAGCTCAACGAAATAGTTGGAATGCGAGCGGCACGGTGAATGAACATTGCTGGCAGTCAGTTGAGCGACAACGGCGTTCAACTATGAGCGAATGAGCAGTATAACAACTGCAAAATTGAACTGTTTTATAATGCAGTTGACAAAGGGGTTATCAATCACTGCTTATTATCCTGAGGGTATAGTAAATTCCTATTTCCAGAAAATTCAAATTTCAGCACATGTATATCTAATCACAAATAAGAACTAC